GAAGTCAGTGAGTGCTTGAGCTTTGATGGAAGTTCTAGGCTCATAGGTGATCTGATACTCGGACAACTCGATCGCCCACGACATCATTCTTCCCGCCAAGTCTGGCTTGTGCAGGACTTGGCGGATTGGTTGGTTGGTCCTGACGGTGATTGGATGACATTGGAAGTACGGTCTTAAACGCCGTGCGGCAAAGATAAGCGTCAAAGCTACATTTTCCACCTGTTGGTATCGAAGCTCTGCTCCTTGTAGAACCTTGCTGATGAAATATACTGGCTTTTGTCCTTCCATTGATTCTTTGGCAAGGGCTGCACTGATTGCCTCGGTACCTACGGCGAGATACAAATAAAGCATTTCTCCATCGTCTGGTTTGGCGAGCACTGGTGGACAAGAGAGTGCCCTTTTGAATTCCTGGAAGGCGTTCTCACATTCTTCCGACCACCGAAAGGCGGTTCCTTTTTTTAGTAAGCCAAAAAGAGGGAGCGATTTGTGAGCCGAATTGGCCAGAAAACGAGTGAGAGCTACTAACCTTCCTGTGAGTTGCTGAACTTCCTTGATTGTTTGCGGGCTTCGCATTTCAATCACTGCCTTGCACTTATCAGGATTGACTTCAATGCCTCTCTCAGTGAGCATAAAGCCTAGGAATTTGCCCGCGGGAACTCCGAAGGCGCATTTGCTTGGATTCAAGCGCATGTTGAATTTTCTGAGTCTTTCAAAAACACCTTGTAGATCAACCAAATGTTGTTCCGACGTTCTTGATTTGGCGATCATGTCATCGATGTATACTTCGATGCAATTGCCAATCAGGTCTCTGAATACTTCATTCATCATCCTTTGGTAAGTGGCCCCAGCATTTTTTAGACCGAAGGGCATCATTGTATAACAGTAATTGGCGTTCTGAGTGATGAACGCCGTTTTGTCTTGGCCTTCTTCAAGAAGTGGTATCTGATTATAACCAGAGTATGCGTCCATGAATGATAGCATATTCAATCTGGACGCGTTGTCAACCAACTGATCGATGCTAGGAAAAGGGTAAGCATCCTTTGGACAGACTTTGTTTAGGTTAGTGTAGTCAACGCACATTCGCCATGCGCCGTTTGGCTTTTTAACCAATACTGGGTTGGATAACCAAGTTGTGTACTTGATTTCCCTGATGAACCCGGTGGCGTGGAGCCTTTTGACCTCTTCATCAATCACCCTCTGGCGGTCGGGACCGAATTTCCTCTTTTTCTGGGCGACTGGCTTGGCTTTGGGATCCACCGACAAACGATGGCAGCAAACGTTTGGATTGATACCTGGCATGTCAGACGGCTTCCATGCAAACAAATCTTTGTTTTCCTTGAGCAACTTGATTAACTTGTATTTCATCTCTGGTTCGATGGTGGCCCCGATGGTTGTTGTTTGATGATCCGCATCTCCTAAGACAACATGTTCCAATGCTCCATCCGGCGTGGGTCTGTCATGTTCCACGCGCGGATCGTCTCTAGAATCAAATTCTACCAAAAAACATTGGTCACGCTCTTTTGACTTCTCGCCGAGATTTCTTTCCGATGGCGACGTCGTCCCCTGCTTGAGCGCCTTTTCATCACTGAAGCTAGCTTTGGCCATTGGCCGTAAGGATATGTTGTAGCAGCTTCGGGCTATCGTCTGGTCTCCTCGCACTGTGGCGACTTTGTTGTCTCGGGCAACGAACTTCATTGCCAAGTGGGGGTGTGAAATGCTTGCCTCGAAGGCAGCAAACATCCTTATACCAAGAATGGCGTTGTAAGCTGATGGGGTGTCGAGCACCAAAAACTGGATGTCTGCGGATCGTGAGGTGGGTGGCGTTCCAAGGGAAAGCCGCAAGGTAATCACTCCCAGTGGCTTTGTGGTGGTAGCGTTGAAACCTGAGAGTTCACCTGTAACAGGAGTTAGACTATCAACAGTGAACCCTAACGCTTTAAAGCATGGTAAAAACAAAATATCGGCTGAGCTGCTGTGGTCAATAAAAACGCGATTAACGCCGAAGTTGGCGATTATAGCTTGAATGACGAGCGGATCGTCATGTCCTGGGAGGACATCGCCTAAATCGCTGGCGTCCCAGACAATTTGAGGCCTTGTTGGACTAGGACTGTGCTTTTCTTTGCTGATCACTTTGCCAGCGACCGCCAGACACTGCTTCAAGTGTTTCTTTCTGCCGTTCGCAGTCTCTCCTCCTCCACTCAGCCCGCCTGAAATCATGTTGATCACTCCGTGCTTCACCGCGGCTGAATCTTCATCTACTTCTTCGCGCCTTCCTCTACGGTTTGGACTTGCTTGCGCTCTGCGATTCCTGGGGGAATCTTCTCTCCTGTCACGATTGTAGGAGGGTCTGGATCCAGGTTGACGCGTTCTCTTTCTTTCAGGCGACTTGTTGCGCTCTCGATATCGCCTCCCTGCTCCCGAAGGGCGTGAGCCGTCTCCTCCTCGCCTCTGCATTCCGCTTTTGATGAGTTCATCGATTTCGTCTTTGAGGTGCCTGCACTGGTCAGTGTTATGACCGTTGCTGCGATGGAACTTGCAGTACATGATGTTTTCTTTAGGCGGGTTCTGAGACTGTTGGGTGTTCTTGGATTCTTCTTTATACTCCGTTTGTAGGACGGCGTGTGTCTGACGACCTGATGTATCACGCCCGGAAGGGTGGTTTGAATATTTGGCTGGTTTATTACCTTTTTTACTCTCTTCCATTTGGTTCTTTGAGCCCACTATGTGCCCTACAGGGTAATGTTACTATGTGGATTATACCACTAGGCGAGGTAATGACCAGACTAGTAGGTATAGTTCCAAGATGCAAGCAAGCTAATAGTAATGGCAGATTAATAGCAAGAGAATGACTTGGAAGTAAATGGGCATAACAACAGTACATAAAAGATACCTCTAAGGTGTGCCCAGGAGGGCTATTTATAAGGGAAATGGAGCGGGCTGGTGAGGGAGAGGTCAACTCTCCTTGGGATTTACTCCCATGGTGCAGTGTTAGGCGTGCTGGCGCTGTCATTGTGGCAGTGTTGCGCCCTCTGCACTCTGGCGGTGTCAGCACCGGGCAAAGGGGGAGTTTCCCTTTGTGGTTTCTGTCGTAGTCGCCTTCAACGGCAGGCGTTCCAAGATGGGACATTTTGGTGTATGCCTTGGGCCTGCTGCTACGTTGGGGGTTGAGGGGGTCCATGTCAGCCCTAAGGGCTGACGTGGGGCAAGGCTGTGGCTGAGCTTGAGTGATTGGGCCAGCTGAGGGTTGGGCCTGTGTAGTTGGGCCGCTCCAGTATTTGGGCCATCCAGAACACTTTTCAATTATGAATTTTGGCGGAAATAAAACAAATGTACAAATCATTCGTCAAGCAGAGGAAAAATTTATGTCTTTTATTATAAACCAGAATTTATAACAACACAACTCTTTAAAAAAATTCTCATTTTCCGACATATAAAAGAAACAATTAATTAATCTCTCCAAATACTTTCAGCCAATATAAGGTGTGCTTTTAAGTCTCACTTAAAAATTAAGTAAAATATATCTGATACATACAAAAAAAATTAGTGTGCTTAATTTTCTCCCGTGAAACTAATTTGGATTAACTACAAACTAACCTCTGTGCTTTAGAATTTTTTTAAGTATGACCTCGGTGTTAATTTTATTCTATACTTATTTATATTAGAATATTAATATTTTGTGGATGCATTGGTAATTCTGAGTGCCTGCAAATCAATTAAGACCCAAAATTTATTAAAACTAGTCTGAATATGTGGGAGAATTACAGTAAGAATAATAGGATATGTAGTTGTTTTGCTCGACTAAAACATTACGTTAACACTGAAATTTACCTGTTTTTTAAAACATGAGAAAATTAAGTGTAAAAAATAAAATAAAAACTTCATATATTCAAACATATATCACAGAAGTTTCAATATGTGTTCCAAATGCCTCACAAATATTTTATTTTTGAGAGGGAAAGTTGGCTTCCAAATACTTAATTGTATTGTTTCCTTTTTTTTTTTTGGAATCAGACCCACGTTGGCTAATCCCATAAATATTAGGATTGATAATATAGCAGTGAAAATATTAGGATCAAATTTTAATCATTTTGTAAATTTCAAAATCGCATAGTATTTCAAAAAATAATAGCCGGATATGCTTACTAATCAGCGTTGCCCATAATTGTTTCAAATAAAAATTAAACTATTATGGATTATATATAAAACAAATTAAAAACATATACTAAGAACAAATACTAAAACTACATTTTACTCATTTTATCTATCTCGCGACTCCTGCACATATATAAAAGTGTGTAAAACTCATTTTATTTCTCTCTCTTATATTCACATGAATCCATATTTTTTTTATATATGTGGAGAAGACAATTTCACCTCCTAGAAACATTAATCTCTTTTTAAAGTACAAATTCTCATTTGAATTTCTTTACTTTTGGATAAAAATATAATTTGACTCTTTAAGTATACGCTTGACTTTACATTAACTTATTTATTAGGGACGTCAAATAAACATTCAAGAAGTGGACAAATATAAGGCTACTCTGAAATTTTCGCTTAATACAATTATGCATTCACTAATTAATTTCTAAACCCATTAACATAAAATCAGTTTGAAAGTCTGCTGATATGGGTTTAATGTTTTTTTATAGGAAATAAAATTTCATACGAAAAAGTAGAGATAAAATATTATGCCTACCTTTTTTTCATGCTTAATTTATTAAACTCTTGTTATATTTTACTTGATATGATGTAACTCTCACACAAACAAGTTCAAAACCTGGCATGAGAAGAACCCAAGTTTCAGCTATTGCAAATAGAGCTGACTATATTGCTAGGACATACGGTCGTTACTTACACCGCAGTTACTTACAGAAGGACTCATTACATTGCGAGTTCCATTTCAATATAAGGCTCGATTGTTCACAACTAGCATAAATTGTGTACCAATCGTTACTCCTCTAGTCCATAACTAGATTTATGTAAATAATTCTTCAGATCAGTCTCAACAACAGAGAAAATCAATAATATATAATTGAATTAGAGTAACAACAGCAACGAGAATGAGCATAGTTGTATTTAACCATCAAAAACACTGGGCAGATTCACATAAATCTACGCAAAAATCATCTTCATAGACTCATACAATAATTTGAAAACTGAAACCCGCAAATCTAGGCATATTGTTACTCAGTTAGATTTCACATGCTGCAGAACAACGTTATAGGCTTCATGTTCCTCCCCGAAATCCTGCAAGATAGAAAAACTTATATATAGCGGGACAAAGCACTCCAACAAACATTTCAATGTCAAATACAAGTCATACCTTGACAACCACGCAGGAGCAACCGGTTACCTTCCTAGCTTTTCCTTCTGAATCAATTTTGCACAACTGCAATGAAAAGATCCACAAAATTTAATACAAGAAAATGATGCAATAAGACTAGGTTTGGGTATATAAATATAGAATAATCACAAATCAACATTTATCAACTAAATTTGGGAATGGGGAATTAATGAATGGCACAATGAATTGAAGTAACATGGTTCAGAGTAAACGACACTTACACCAGCCCATTCTCCAAGAGTCTTAGCATTTGGAACTGTCAACAGGCTAACATTGTGCTCTGCACAAAGAGCTTTCACCAGTTTGACATAATCAGGTTGGTCACAATCTTCTGCTAGAACACAGAGCTGAGCAGAATGCTTCTCAATCACTTTCGCACTTTCGTGAAGACCTCTCGAAAGACCACCATAAGCCAATGATTTTCTAAGCACAAGCTGTAAGGCAGTCATGATGTCCATGGGTTCACCTGGAATAGCAGCAGCAGCTGGCTCAGCTGCAACAGCAACAGGAACTTCAACTTCTTCCCTGTACAAGAAAAATATTCTGAACAGTCAGAAACTAAGGATAATCTTAAATTCATAAAGGAAAAGCTATTCAAGAGAGACACATGGACCGAAGCACACAAATAGAAGAATGTATACAATTTTAACCAACAGCTAATACAAGATCGTTTTCACGCTAAATATGTAAAGCATATTATTAGTTTTCCTTGCTTTTCTTCTAGTTATTACTGAAGTGTAAAGCTGTCAGATCCAACTCTCTGACCAATCAAGTTAAATTGATTAGCAGTGTCTTCAAAAGCAGTTCTTCAAACACATTTCGAGAATGTATATGATAATTCTCAAAAAATAATTCATTTGATAAATGAAACAAGAAAGACTCATGCAACAAAAAATGTAAACATTGCCCTGAACTATAATTAGATTATATTACATACTAAATACACATTCAATAATAAGAATCACAGAATGAAAGATTCTAGCTGTAACAGACAAAGTAACGAAACCAACCAGGCTCTTATGATGGGGACAGAAATTTGGAAGGTGTATTCCATTAGAGTTCAACAACATAAACTACTCAATTACAAAGCATTGTTCCAACGAGATCTCAGTAATCCCACAAAACCATCTCAATTATGATCCATCAATATGTTCATATTGAAACTTGAACGAACCGCCAGTATCTAATCTCCAGATAGCACATAACTTCATATAGGCATTATATCTAATATATTCTCTACCAGATTTTTCATTCTGAGGCAAAAAAAATCCAGGCATCTGTAACATGATTTTCAATAGGTGATTCTAGTAAATGTTAATTTAAAAAATAAAAAGGGGAAAAAGAGTAAAAGAGATCGTTTTAGGAACCAACTACATATTCCAATCACCGATGAAAGGAAAAAATTAGCATACCCTGACATTTTTTCTGGTTGATTTCACAAAAGCACTCTCTCCTTCCTGCATAAACAAAAATAACAAAACAAATCAGAGCTTTTGCCACACATTAATACCTAAAGAAATGCAGCATTCGTCAGTGCATGAGCATGTGTGTGTGTCTGTGTGTGTGAGAGAGAGAGAGGGCGATTAGAGGAGAGATACCTTGTTGAATATGAGACGCCGAAATCCCTAGGAAAATTGCAGAAAATTTTTGGAAATTTATATCAGAAACCATAAACCCTAACATTTAGCCTGAAAAGTCCAAAATGTCCTTCTTCGTTTTTTTTTTTTTTTTTTAAGTTTTGCAAAAATAAAAAAAGTTAGGACAGTCAATAAGTAAAGCCCTCTTACCCTCTCCCATATAATTTATTAATTTTTATTCTATTCTTCTATCATTCAAAAGAAAAATATTTTTATTATGTTGTAGGAAAATAATTACCTCATGTTGTAGAAATAAAATTACAAGTGAGACCCACAGGTAAGAGAAGAGAGAAAAAAGAGTGGTGGGACCAAATACTTTTATACGTGTGTAAAAAAGTTGTTTATCTTATGTAAAATGAGATAAACATAACCTAATTTAAAATATTGAATACTATTGGCATAAATGGTAAGGAATTTGTGTCCCTTAATTAGAGGTCTTAAGTTCGAGCACTGGGAATAGAAAAAATAATTTTGGGAGAGCCATCCTCGCTTAGGGTCCGACAGTACTCGAATCGGGCTAATTCAAAAAATGAACTGGTTAATGAGACTAAAAAAAAATTTAAAAGGGTTTAATTTATAAAAAAAAATTGAGTTAGATATGAGGTTTTGAGGTTTTTAAATAGATAAAAGAATTAATAAAAAGATCTGATTGTAAGAATTAAAAAATTTACAGACTAAATTCAAATAAAAGTTTATTAAAGAACTAAAATCACGTATTAGAATGAAAAGTAAAGAATTCACCTTCTCTTTAATTTTAGTCAACTAAACATTTTGTTTTGCCATAAATTTGATACAAGTTAATTTCTTTTAATTTTTTTTAACCTTTCATCAAAGAGGTTGAAAGAACAAGCCAATTGGGCTTAAAAAAATGCTAGAATTGGAAAATAATTATAAGTGATACCAGCCAATTGGGCTAAGCCTTTAAAAGAGTCAAGTATCTAACGGTGTCATGTAAAGAATAATGGGCTAGATGGATGCACTCATATAAGCGTCAACATAAACCATAGTTAACAAGTCTTTGAGAAAGTTTGTACCAAAAAAAAAAAAAGTCTTTGAGAAAGTATAGGAGGCATTCTATTCTGTGATGCAATATTACACAAATTTTATGTGAAATCATGTTAAATTTTATGCTTTAGTTGTTTATTTTTTATTTATTTAGTTTTTAAATATTTTCATCCTTGTGCATTTTATGATTTTATTTAAATTTTTAGATGTAATTTTGATGATTTTTGTATCAATATTTGAGAGTATTAATATTAAAGCTTAGAAAATGAGATATTATCCAAATCATACTTGAATCATTACTAAGATTAAAGTCATAATCAATAGTTGAATGAACTGAAAATCCAAAAAGACTAGAATACCAAATAATAACAAGAAACAAAATTCCTTTCTTTCTGTTTTCTTTGGTCTTGTCCTGTTTTTTCTTTATGTTCATTTCTGCTTTGTTTTTCCTTTGTGAGTCTTAGGCCCTTTTGGTTACCCAAAAAAAAAAAAAAAGACAAAGAAACAAAATTCCTTATGCCAATTATCCAAATACTTCATCATTAACACACGCCTCTTTGCTTTTCTGTGATTGATGATAAATACATTATTTATTAATTGGCTTGGTATTTGTCATTTTAAATGACATAAGTTATGTCATTTTAAGAGAGAGATAGACACTGAAAATAGAAATCATGGGAGAGAGAAAGTGAATGATTTTTTTTAATTTAAAATTTAAATAAAAAAATGTATTATGTGTCTATCTCTCTCTTAAAATGATATAACTTTATGTCATTTAAAATGACAAACACTTTTTCCTTTATTAATTGATTTTACTATTTATTGATTCATTCATTGTATAATTTAATACCTATATATATATACTTTAAGGGAAAAATATTTCTGCATTTAATGCAGATACGTTATCTGCATTTATTCTCAAAATCACGTTGTTTTGGTATCGAAAACTTAAAAAATTATAAATATAAAGACTATTATAACCTAAAATAAACTAAAATTATAAAAATACCATGATTTTTTTCCAAAACGATGTCATATTAAATTTACTTTATCAGCAGAAAAAAAAGCCAACCCATACTTTAATTTAATAATAACTTTTTAAAAGTAGTAATACTAATGAGTAATGACATACAAACTCACTGAGTTTGATTCATGAGACGGTGAAGAGAGAAGGCACATGCAAAGGGCCCACTCTCTCTTTCGCGCCTTCTTTCAACTTCTTCTATATTAACTAACATATTTGTTGGTTTCGCAAGAAACAAACAAATTCACCAGAAATTAAAATACAAAAAAAAAAAACAAAAAAAAAAAAACCCAAATCTCTTCTTCTTCCTCTTCCCCCGCATTTCCAATTCAAAAACCCTAGAACGGGAGAGAAAGAGAGAGGGTTACATTAACCCACCAATCTTTAAGGTCAGATTTTCAATTCTCATTCGATTCGATTCTTTTTTCTGTTATAATAAATTTTGACAATGCATATGCATACGCATGAAATTGAAACAGATCTGGTGGAGTTTACATGTATGTTTCCAAGTAATGCCGAACAGCGATTCGATCCATATTCGCGAGGTGTGGAACGATAATCTTGAAGAAGAGTTCGCTATGATTCGTGAAATCGTCGATGATTACCCTTGCATCGCGATGGACACTGAGTTCCCTGGTATCGTTCTTCAACACTTGGGCGACTCCAAGAACAGCTTGGATTTACGTTACCATAACCTGAAGAGCAATGTTGACATTCTGAAACTGATCCAGTTAGGTCTCACCTTCTCCGACGAACAAGGTAACCTACCAACTTGCGGCACCGATAGCCAATGCGTCTGGCAATTTAATTTCCGCGAATTCAATGTGGACGAAGACGCTTCCTTCAAAGCTTCGATTGAGCTATTGATACAGAGTGGTATCGATTTCAAGAAGCACAAAGAAAACGGCGTTAACGCGATGCGTTTTGTGGAGCTCTTGATGTCGTCTGGGGTTGTGTTGAATGATAATGTTTACTGGGTCACTTTTCATAGTGCATATGATTTTGGATATTTGATTAAGATCTTGACGTGTCGCGATTTGCCTGATACACGAATGGGATTCTTTAATCTAGTCAACATTTACTTCCCAATTGTATATGATATTAAGTATCTTATGAAGTTTTGCGATGGCCTTTATGGAGGACTCAACAAGCTTGCAAAGTTTTTGGGGGTTCAGAGGGTTGGGACTTCTCATCAGGCTGGTTCAGATAGTTTGCTCACACTTTGTTCATTCATGAAATTGAGGGAGATTTTCTTTAGTGACTCCTTGGAAAATTATGCTGGTGTTTTGTTTGGCTTCGAGGATGATTAGAATGTTACCCATTGTGAAAAAGAAAAACAAGAAAAAAAAAAAGAAAAGAAATTGTTCAGATGTCATTAGAACTCTCTCTTTTGTTTTTTTGTTTGAGCTTCTAGATATCTGGTGAATAGTACTAACATCTTCTATAGCATTAAGTGTGCTCTGAATTCCTTTCTTTCTTCCTTCTCTTCTTGTGTGCTAATTTTGGGTTTGTCATTTTGCATGCATTGGTTATTTCCTGTTAAGTTGTATATCTTGATCCCCGTGATGATTCAAAATTTCCATTTTTTTTTAAAGTACCTTAGATGCCTCGACTATAACTTTCATTTGACCCGTAACTTACCCTCCATGTTTCCAATTTCTTAGTCCAATTTGACCAATGAAGCATTATTAGTTAATTCCGTTAAACTCTTAGGTCATGTTTGATTGATTAACGGTTAGTAGAATGGATAAATATATATAATTAAATAAAGAAAAAATTGTGTTTCTTTTTAAATGACACAAACTTATGTCCTTTTAAGAAAGAAATATATACAAAGAGATGAGATACACATCTTTATTTTTATTTATTTTACTTTATTTTTTTTTTTCAGTGAGACCTACATCTCCGTGTGTCTATCTCTCTCTTAAAAGGACCTAAGATTGTGTCATTCAAAATGATACACATTTTTTCCTTATGTAAAATAAAGTTTCGAACCATTATTCATATGTTTAATTATGGGATGAAAAAAATTATATTTCCTTGATTAAAAGTTCTAGTTGAAGTAAAGAAAAGAATTATGACATTTTTTTGTTTGTTTTTATATTACCATTATCTCAAATGTAAATTAATTTGTTTTATATGAATAATGATAAAAAAAAATTAATTTTATATTTTGTTTTATTCTCTTGTCCCTCAGTTTGTGGGGAAAGAAAACTAAGAGAATAGTGAGGTAAGAATTGATATGGAGTCCCTCCGATTTCATTCTTTTTCAACCCCCTCTCTAAATATTCAAACAATGACATGGAAACAACTAAATTATGAGAGGATTCATAACCTTGTACATAAAACGTTAATCTAAACTTTCTTTACAAAAAATTTTTTTTGGGTGCAGACATACTTTTTTTTCTGGATCCGCTACTGCCTAAGGAAAGAAAAAAAAACTTTTAAGCAATGTTTGTTATCTAACTATTTAGATAAGGGTTATTATAGTAGGCTAAGAACATGTTTTGGGCTGGGCGTGGGTTTTCGAAGCGATCTCATAAACAAAAAAGTGAGCTAAAAAACAAAAGGAAGCACCAGATGCCAGCCTAAGTGATGGATTGTTTATTTGGGGTCTTATGATCTATTACTGAATTTCTTATTTGGGCTAGGAACATGGGGACTCTGTTGCCCTCCCATAATTACACTATTATTTTATAATGTTTTAATAAATTATAATTTTTATTTTATTTTTTATCTAATTATTATTATTGTAAATATCTTTTAATGACATGGTAATAAATGATCAAATGCTAGTGTGTCAAATGTATTTACACTGATAGGAATAATTTTTTTTCACAAAGAACTAAATAAAATTCAATTTCAATTGCATTATTACCTCAATATAATTCCGAAATTGTTATAATTTCGATTCTTTCCTTAGTTTACCGCCTAACTAGTTACTAATGACTGCGGGTCGAGCCGAGCCGAGCTTTGATCTTAAAATGTTAAGCCTGTGTTTAAATGTGTCAGCCTGACCAAGCCTGTTACTTGTTATGAATATAATTTCAGCCTGTGGCCTGTCTTATTTACAAAAAATAAAAGCCTGGTTTAGCCTGTTTAAAACAAAATAAGACAACAAAAATTTATCCAAACAAAATATATAGTCAACAACACTAGTAATTCCAGAAATATTCATAAATTTTATGTATATCCAAACAGCATAATATAAAACAAAATCATTCAAAAAATCTGTTTACTTAATAAAATGAGATGAAATGGATTGAGGAGAGAGAGCTATCACAAGTAGTATAAAAAATATAAAATAAAAACAAAAATTAATATATTAGGCCAGCCTGAGAAGCTCTAAGGCCGAGCTTTTGAATTGAAGCCTGAGACCTTTTTATTAAACGAGCTTTTATACAAATCCAAGCCTTGTTCTAACAATCAATTTTAGACATAAAAACTCAGGCCTTCACGAGCCGAGCCAAAGGCCCCTGGCTCGTTTAGCATCCCTACTAATGAGCGCCATGCACAGGATATTCTGTATTTTATATTTTATATTTATTATGATTAATTATTATTTTACATAAAAATTTATAATATATATATATATATATATTGGAAATTTATAAAATATATTTTAAATTAACTATGAATTCTCAAGCGTGCATAAATAAAAAGGAGGGTTATATTTACAAATTTTTTGTTTATAAACTCTTAGAAACTACACTATGTATTTCCGGAAGTATATTAGGTTATACTATGTACTTCCGGGAGTACATAGTGTAATTTGTAAAAATTTGTAAACGGATCCTTCTCCTAAATAAAATAGTAAAAATAATTTCAAGTTTACTATATATTATTATTTTTATTCAATACTTTTTCTTATAAAGTTTTTATGCTTAATTATTATTTAAGATAAGTTAAGTTAGTATTATACATTTTTAAATATTATTACTATTATTTTTTGTTATCAACACTTTCACCTTATACATTTAATGCTATTATTAATTATTCCTAATAATAATAAGATGAATATGCTATTATTAATTTTATAATTTAACAGCATTAGTAATCCTCACGCAGCAGTTATTGGGTCGATGTTTTTATGTTAGCCTTTCTGTTTTTTTTTATTTCTATTACACACACAGAAAAAAAAAAAAAAAATAGCATTTTTAATTTCTTCTAAAAGGAAATCTCAGTTTTTGTTCGGTCTGGATTCTGGACTGAATCAAGCAATGATAATCTGAAAGGGGGTGGTATACCTATGCTAAAGTCATACAAGGTACGGGAGAGTAATGTAAAGTAAATAGTGTGTATATATGGTGATGCTGATAATTTTTTATATAGTGCTGTAATTGTTCAGTACCCATCTAGGTTATTATGGGGAAGAATCTCTATAGATAGCTTTCCAGATATGCTTAGATAATAAAAGTGTATAATATGTTTTGAGTACCTTAAGGTAGTTTCCGGGAACCACTTCAATTCCCCTTCATAAAAGCCAGCACAAAAGCTAGAGGTATTAGGCAGAACATAGGAGTTAATGCTGTGATGCAAAGTTAGATAAAGCGTCAGCAATTAAATTCGAATATGCCATATTTTAATAACAAAACAAGTGTATTATCTTAGTAGAATCTTTCTCCCAAGTCCAAAAACCAAATAGCCAATGGCAACTTTATTTTCCTCCTCTTCTTTTATGTGATTAGCGGGCAAACTCACACAATTAGTTTGCAGAGGCTTCATTGTACAACAACCCATTAGCTCTTATCTTTAGGTTTGTCTTTTTTTTATTTTATTTTTTATGAATAATCTCAAGGATATTCTCCAGTTGTAATGGAAGACTAATTTCCATCGAACACTGTCATATTTTTTCAGGAGCGGCTCTCCCAATATCTTTTTTTATTCACAGGACTTGAATTCGAGACTTATGATTAAGGGACTCAGGCTCCTTCCCACCTATGCCAAAAGAGTTTGGTTGGCTTGTTTGTTTCAATTAATTAATTAAAATTTTCTAGTGATGGCCTACCAACGAATTAATCATCGGTGCTACTGTTGCACTTATTTTCAGTGCATCCCACCAATAGGAGCATTACACATCAAATGAAAAAAAAAAAATTGACAGAAAAAAGAAAATTTTGACTCACATGTAATATTTTTATTGGGTGGAATATACTGAATATATTTATTCCCAACCAACAAAACCAATAAGAACTGCACTTAATCATATGCTCTCCACTATGAAAGTTCTGTTATTGACATTAATTTGCTTACTCTTCTCTTTAGTGCTACTTTGTCTCGTTTAATTAATTTTGCCAGAACAATTGGAATCTTCCCTTTTCAAACAAAAAGGAAACAAAAAGAAAGGAAAAGCTTCACTGCCATTGAATTTGAGTGACAATAACAAATCAATACAAGATAATTATTCTTGATCAATGATCCTCCGCTAGTTAGTATGGACAAAGATGCAGCATAAAGTTTAGGACTTTGTCCGAGAATCTTAAAATAAATTTGTTTTCACTCTCTTCTGACTCACGACCTCCTCAAACACTGAACAAAATAATATGCCTGCCACATTGTTGATTATTGTTTTCTTCGAAACTCAATTACAAACACTACTATACACATAGCAGAAGAATTTCCATGGCTGAATAATTTGTATTCTTTCTTGTTTACATTGTAAGAGTTATTTCAGTGCTTGGCCAGAGGAACAATAAATACCATATTGGAAAAGTTGTTACTAGAAATCAAGGACTGGTGTGGGAATATTTCCTGCTTGCTACGAGGTCATGCCTTTATATGGCTAATTTGCATAAATAGCAATTTGTTTATCACTCAGTTTCAAGCACTATTGAGTCTTAACTGATTCATATGGTTGTCAATGACATGGACTTAAACTTCCCATCTTCCTCACATGGTTCCAAGCAATCCCATGTGACTATGTGAGAGCAAAGCGTGGAGCAATCAGAACCAGTACTTTTTTTTTTTCTTGTCCAAGTGAGTAAAAAGTAGTCTACTCTCTCTCTCTCTCTCACACACACACACAAACACACACACAAACACACTCTAAAACTCATAATAAGTAGGAAATGACATTGAGGTTTGCTTCAAGAGCCAAAAACAGAGATAATAAGTGCTTTACATGGGCCATTTTGACAGATATGATGAAATGTGAAGGGTTTTCTTTCCTGCTTAACTTTATTAGCACTACAAGTGTGTTGATGAAATCTCATTTCAAGCAATATGTGGTTAATAATAATGAACATGTTGCGTCAACAAACTCATCTCCTATTTACTTATGAATTGCACCAACAGTATATACAAATTCTTTTATAACAACAGTTTCCTACATCTAAGATGTCTTCTTTGATCCAAATCTGCTTTTAGATTCAAAACATAATTAGCTAAAATTAAAGGGAGCACATTATTGAAGCCATGACAGAAGATAAAGAAGAAAAAGGAACGGTGCACATTAAAACAACATAGTATATAACTTGTGCAAGCAGAATTCTAAATTTGAAGTTAGTTGACCAATTGATGCAGAGTGAACAAAGTGGAGGACAAAATGATACAAAATGCCAGCTAATTTTGACCCTTTTAATTTCATTATTTGCTTGAGTCCCACCTTTCAACATCCTACATTCCTAATTCAATGTATTCTCTTTGAAGTTTGAAGTCCTCTTCATTTTTTAGAGGGGCTCTTCCATTCACCTACTTTTGAAGCAAGCCCGTGCTTAAATTTTTTTTCACACTACAGTTAATGGAACAAAGTATAGAATAGGTATATTAGTACAGTTTAGCTGTCCCAGACCATTATACGAACTTCTCTGGGTGTCAAATTTGGTACTAAATAAGGAATTAACAGTGGTCATCCAATTTTTATTCTTAGTTATTCTATTAAGTCTTGTACTCAATGTTGGCCAATTAAGGTGCTGTGAAAGTCTCTCAACCATCAATTTGAAAGTTAAAACCAAACTGGTTTTTCAACTTTTGAGTTGACACAAGTACAGTAATCTGAGAGGCATCTCCTGATGATAGCCCATTTTGAGAGTAGAAAGAGACATGAAGGAGGAAGACAACCACAAAATTTCAAATCACTGAAAGAATTTGTGCCACCTAGCCATGTCATGCTCCCTTGGAGACAATTTTAGGGTCTCCTCCTCTCTATCCCTATATGATTTGATGTTTATGATAATAATATAAACCATTAAAAAGATCATTACAGACCATTAAGCTTAAGTTATTGGGTTGAATTGGTTCTTTAAGTAAAATAAAAAATTGGACCCGTGCAATATGTGTAACGTCTGGCAGCTTGCAAGGATCAACGACTGTCCCCACACACTAACACGAGACTTTTCAGCGTGCTTTGTCCTCACTCGCACACTTCCTGGAAAAACTTTCCAAAGGTCACCCATCCCAGAATTGCCCCAAGTCAAGCACGCTTAACTATGGAATTCTTCCGTTTCGGGCTACCGAAAAGTAGATGCATGTTTTTAGTATAGGTAGTACCAATTAATTCTTATAAGTTATTCCCAACTGTACCGTCCCATACTAGCACAGTCTCTGGAATCCATCTCTTTCGGGTGTCGATTCGATTCATTCGTGCATGTAACCCCCTGCTGGAAGCCTGTCAGAGCCGCTCTTTGTCCATGCCCTTTCACACCGGCGGTCACTTCCCGTCCTCGTCAGCGCTCGAGATGTTACATTATTCACGCTTCAAACCTAAAAAGCTATTGCGTGAGGGAGTGTGTTATGACAAGAAAAGACCATTTTCCATTGGCTAAGTGAGCAACGGTATTAAGTGGGCTTAGACATCACAATTAAATCCAAAACCTTAAGGCATTAGGTGCACGAGTCCTTCTACTTATATGGTTCTCATTTAGTTTATTCTTAACCAATATGAAACTTCACCCACATTGGCTCTTCCATCAAGGCTTGGCTACACTCTCGGATCACCACAGGCCAATTTACTATTGACTCTGATACTATGTAAAGAACCAATTCATCCCAAAAATTTAAGCTGTTAGATGAGGTTACATTAATAGTTTTATATATCTTTAACAGTTTCAATTAACAAAATATAGTTCAGACTTAAATCTCGTTGTTCATTATGCTGATTCTTGAGTAGTAACACAACAATGACCATCCTGTAAGCTTAAGATAGCATGCCACCCACAAAGCCTGTTGGTGTTGCCGTGTTAACTAGTTTTGCAAACAGCGTTTCATAATTAGTGGTAGAATCCACTAATTCCTTTTTTTTACTCCACCTTTAAATTAGCATGCGTTTGTTTTCACTTTACAGTGAAATTTTACAAATTCTAAACACTCCCTTTTGACGAAACAATGTTTTAATTGCACTCATATCATTCACCATTGACTAAAAACCAAAATTATCCATGGATTTGTTTTATAAGGATAAGGACTAGTATTGCTCCTAGTGGCTCCCCACCTTTTTGAAGGAATAGTATCTTTTTTGAACGAACATCATTAAATAGATATAAAACTAGATAGCAAAAATATAAAATAGTAACAGGTAACATCTAATTTGCAACTCATAATGCTTTTAGTTTACAGAAGAACATATTCTTCGTCAGCATTTAACAGTAGCTTTTTTAATGCATGCAATAATATATTATCATGCACAAGTAGAAACATGTCTACCCATTAGAGAAATCAGAGCAGCATTTGTATTCAACCCTTTTGACACGCATGAAGCACCGACACTTCAAAAATTTTGATGTGTCGTGTCCGACACTTCCCGACACTCCAACACGCATTATAGAGACTCAGAAAAAGATTCAAAGGTTACGTTGCATTGCATTTTTAGTTCCAATAATTAGATTCGTTGGATTACTATTACCATCTTATTGAGTTTAATATAAATATTTAGGATATTTTATGTTTTTTTGCAAAATTGATGGGTATTATAAGTTTAACTTCATTTTTTTTGTTAAATTATTGAGTATTAAATATAATCTACATTACATAAATTTAAAATAATATTTAATATCAAAACGTGTCTTAACGTGTCGAAATCTAACATTTTTTAAAAATAACGTATCGGAGTGTCGTGTCGTATCATATCTCGTATCCCATAGTTTGACACAATAAAAGAAGAGAGAGAGAGTTCCTTTCTTTTAGGCAACAATTCAATTAGCTCTAGTTGGATGCTCTTCAAAGCATAAACGTAGATTACGGTATGGAGTTGGGTATGAACATTATCTTACATTGGGAAATGCATCATTGCGAGTTGAAAGAACCGAAGGTGGACAGGGAACTCTCAAAGAATTGATTCCACTGTGAATGAAAGTTTGGTATATGAGTTTGTAAAATATGCGGGCTTATGCTAACTCTCAATTTTTTATTTACATTTTTCGTTAATGAATTATAATTATAATTTTTCGTTCTTATCAAATGTTAACTAATTACATTATAAATTAATTATTTATTCATATATAATTTAGTTGAAACAAAATGCTCCTTGGTGAAGCATTGTGAAATGTGTTGAATAATTGTTAGACCCAATTATTCACCGGTGACTTCCATCCTTGCAATTTAACAGTTAATTAATTGAAGTCACATATGATGCTTAATTAATTATTAATTATATAATATGGTACTGACAAGAATACTTCAATTGGCTGTTACTAACTAATAAACGAAGGACGGTACAAAGAGATGGGGATAAGTCTAACCTACTTTGAATTAATTCAATTCAAAAGTTTAACATTAATGATTTTATATAGGGAAAAAATATTGTAACAATCAAGTTGTGTTACTACCAAGTTATTATCAAGTTACTACCAATCAATCTCACTGTTAGATCGATCATGTTGATCCAACGCTTATATTTATTTTCATCTTTATATGGTCATGATTTTCTAAATTTAATACTTTATATTTATTTTTACCTTTGTATCGTTATGATTTTTCATATTTATTCTTTAACTTTAAATATGGAAAATCATAACCATACAAAGATAGAAATAAATATAACCGTTGGATCAACATAATCAATCTAACGGTGAGATTAATTGGTAGTAACATAGTAGTAACATAACTTGGTTGTTACAATATCCCTCCTCTTTTATATATTTCTAATACGTTCCTTCACACGAGAGTCAATTGGGTTTCAAAGGTGGATAACGTATAAGCCCACCTATATGTGCTAAGAAATTTCATAAGAGAAAATGGGAACGATGATAATCAAATCCATAAACTGAGGCTCTGATACTATGTAAAGAACCAATTCAACACAAAAACTTAAGCTAGTGAGTGAGGCTACATTAATGGTTTTATATATCTCTAACACGCCTTCTCACAAGAGAGCTCATTAGGCTTGAAAGGTGGATGATGCATCATGCCCAACATACCTGTGCTAAGAAATTCCACAAAGAAAATGGGGGCGGCGAGGAACGAACCTAGGATATCGATGCTCTGATATCATGTAAAGAATCAAATCAACCCAAAATTTTAAAGTGTCAGGTGAAGGTCTTTTTAATAGTTTATATTATTATCTAACACACCCCTTCACGTAAGAGCCATTTGGGCTTGAAACGTGGATATTGCATAGGCCCAATTTTTTTTTTGTTTTACCTTGGGCTTATTTAATTCCACTTGAAAGTGGGAGGCGGTGAAGATCAAATTCGTGACTTTATGGTCTCTGAAGCTCTGATATCATGTAAAGAACCACTTCAACCCAAAATCTTAAGCTGGTGGGTAAAGTTATGTTAATGGTTTTATATATTTCTAACAATAAGAAAAAAGAATGAAAAAACGAAGGTATAGGGAATGATAAAACAGACATCATTCTTTTATGCTGTTGGACAAGAAAACCTCTCCTGCAAATGATAGTAATTATGTACTAAAAATAATATATAGTTATAATATTAAAATTGTTTTTTTTTCTATTTCCTGGGATATTATCAGTTGACGTGACGGAGAAAAAAAAAATAACTTTAACATTATAACTATATACTACACTTAATATATAGTTATTTATTTTTGCGGAAAATAATTCTCTTATTCGGAAAAATGGAACCCATGGGAAAACCATTATTGATGCCTAATGTATAAAGCCTCTTTGCCAAGTTCCATATTGAATGCCCCACCATCCACTTCTACTCTTTCATTTCGTGGCCAGCACTTTCAACCACTAATTTGCTTCCTCTCTTTTCCATTGGGATTCTACAAGTCAACTACACCCCTTCCTATATATATCATACAATTTCTACACTCTCATCACAACGAGACAAACAATCTCGAGGCCCTCACTCTCTGTATGCTCTGATTTCTGGGCCTTTCTTGTCTTAATTTACTTGATACAAGGGATATGGACAATAATGAGGAAATTCCATCAGCACCATCAACACCTGCGACACCAGGTACTCCTGGTGCACCTCTTTTTGGTGGGTTTCGGTCTGAGAGAACCGGGAATGGTGTTGCTAAGAAGAAGTCTCTTCTCAAGAATTGTAAGTGCTTCAGTGTCGAAGAATGGACCTTAGAAGATGGAGTCTTACCAAGCGTCTCTTGCTCATTGCCACCACCTCCTGTTTCTCTTGCAAGAAAGGTATATAATACATTCTAAGCTATTCTCTTTTCTTTTGTATCAGTTTCCTCGACAGGTTCATGTTTCGGATTAATTCGGTTCGAGCACTGTCGTACCCAAAGCAGGACGACTAACTCTTTCAAAGATTGTTTTTTTTATTCTCGGAACTCGAACTCGAGACCTTCATTTAAAGGACACTAACTCCTTATCATTTGTGCGGGTGGTTATAGGGAAATATTGAAGAAACTATAGACAAGTTTTTTTGTGTTAGAAGATTGATATATAACCAATGCATACCATTTTTCATTGACGTGTAAGTATTGTTGGGCAAGTGAAGGTAGGAGCTGAATTTATAGGCACGTTCATTCTCATGTTTGCTGGGACAGCCACAGCTATAGTGGACCAAAAAACACAAGGAACAGAGACTCTGATTGGATGTGCTGCCACTACTGGTCTTGCAGTTATGATAGTTATCCTCTCCACAGGCCACATCTCCGGTGCTCATCTCAACCCTGCTGTCACCATTTCTTTTGCTGCATTAAAGCACTTCCCATGGAAACATGTACACAACCTTTTCCCTTTTTTTTCTTGATTTGCTTATCATTGCTAGTTGTTAAATGTTTTCAATATATGCTTAGCTTACCAAAGCAACATCTTCATTATTTTATTTTAATTTTTGGGTACATAAATTGATAGGTACCTATGTATATTGGTGCACAAGTTTTGGCATCAATATGTGCTGCATTTGCTCTAAAGGGTATTTTTCACCCTTTCATGAGTGGTGGAGTCACCGTTCCTTCCGGAGGATATGGCCAAGCTTTTGCTTTAGAGTTCATTATCAGCTTCAATCTCATGTTCGTTGTCACTGCTGTGGCCACCGACACCAGAGCTGTGAGTATTATATATCTTATTCATTTTAATTAATAATCAATTCAATTTCAGTCTGAGAGAGAGAGAGACTATATTTCATGATCTGAAATGTTTAATTAATGGGTTTTATAAGAGTTATGTGGTAGGAAAAATGATTGTGTTATGTTATAGAGATTCGTTTTGCGTGCTGAAGTTTTTTTTTTTTTTTTTTGCTATGGGCCCCACAAAATATTGTGTGTGTAGAAAACTTTTTGTGGTCATGTTAAATAATAGATGATAAACCCTTAATTAATTTCAGACAAACTGGTAGGGGAGAAAATATAAACCTTAACATGATATTAAAATATAAAAACATTAAATTGAATTTTAATTTATATAAAATGTTAGCATACAATACAACTATCTAAGATCATGAGTCAATATATAATATGTGTTTACTGCATCGCGCAAGTCTCGTTTCAAATGATGCAAACTATAATGTGATTTTTTTTTCCTTCCTAAATACATAAATAAAAGTATATTTATCTTTAAATTTCAATATACTAAAATCACAGTATATTTTAAATTAATTTAAAAATAAATTTGTTTATATTTGCTAGTTTCAAAGAGAAATTCAGAGCATCTTATCCAACTATAATAATAGCAGTAATATAAACTATCAAATATACGAGTAAATCCAAATTTTGATACTGTGACTATGAAATTGAAATCACATGCATGAGGTAACCTTTTTCACATGCGCCTGAGATTTCATTGGATTAATTGAACCTTGTATTATTAATCAATAATAAATATTTATTCTATTTTTAATTTTAATTTTAACATACAAATTGATATATTATTATTCTACAAAAGAAAGTAGTATAATAAGTTTCAGCCGGCACTAAAATCAACCCAGGCAGGGAGGGGCGGTGCATCCAAAAAGTTTATTATTGGCATGAGAGTCAAAGGAAAAGTTATGTCTGCTGTTTTGTCCCTGTAAATCCACGTGAAGTTTGTTCATTTATTGCGAGTTGCGACCATTGTCTACTCCAACCCATTTTGCAGTGAGATCACGCTTTGTCCTTATTTTAAAAAGAGTAAACAACTTTGTTTTGTTCTCTCCGAATATTTACGAAATTTTTTTTAGTCATTGACAATAAAAAAGGACTAAATTAGTTCCTAAAATTATGAAAAAATGGCCACATTAGTCCTTATGTCAACTCTTCCGTCACTAACGTGGTCCTTTTTGCATACTGTTAGGGACCAATTTGGTCCTTTTTTATTGCCAGGAACTAAAAAGAATTTCGTAGATATTTTCAGGAATCAAAAAGGGTGTTTACTCTTTTAAAAACGGTCAGGATTTGGAATCTTGCTGCTTGCACAGATAATAATCAGTCTTATTTGATAATTTATATGAGTAAATATCCAACTTCTTGAGAAATTTAAAGGCAAAACACACTAGTTCTTAGAAATATAAATTTTTTTACTCTGATTATTAAAAAATTACATTAATTTCAACTAATATTCGACGTTTATAATATTTTGCGAATTAGCGTGAAGTTTTTATATTCTTAAGAATCAATGAGTTCATTGCCATTTTTTAAGGGGAATTTGGAAATATATTCTTAGTAAAGGGTGATGATACTGATGAACGCGAAATGCTAGAGCTTCCATCCCTTTGATGCATAAAACGTGTTTGGAGGTGTATATGTAGCATTTGAATTAAATAAACCAAGACATAAAATAACATAAGAACTGAACGGTCATTTCATAGCAGTTTCCTATATCACAAAACAAAGCTACCTGGAATTGTACCAAATATATAAAGGATCTGAGGACCTGCATGTATTGTATATATATGTATTTATAATCTAGATAGATGAATTCCCTATGCTTTATGCAGGTTGGAGAGCTCGCGGGAATCGCTGTGGGAGCGACTGTCATGCTCAACATCCTCATAGCAGGGTATGTCCCAATTCACTACTCAAGGGTTACTCCAAAAAGAATCCAAACCAAACACACCTTTTCCTATTATTAAATAACACTTTAACTTTAAACTATTTATACCCTTCATATATTTCTCATTTATCCTAAAAATATTACTTCAACCCAAAACCTTAAAGTTTTGAATTAAATTAGTTTTTCACATGATATCAAAACCACAAAGTTACGAGTTTGATCCTTACCATCCCTACTTTCTAGTAGAATTAAAATAAACATAAGGTAAACTAAAAATTGAACCTATGTAATATTCACGCTTCAAGTACAAAGGACTCTTGCATGAGGAGGCGTATTAGAGAATAATATAAATTATTAAAAAAGCTTTCACCCAAGACCTTAAGGTTTTGGGTTGAAATGGTTCTTTACACTTCCCTGTAAGTATATTTTTCTAGTTCTTTTCTCTTCTCACTGTGATTTTTCGTAATCTGAATAACCCTTGATATACAAGATACAATCTTTTGAAAATTAGACATTTCGTATCTCCATTTGGAAAAGATGAAAGTGAAAGAAAAGATATGCCCTGACTCTTGGCCTTACGAGTGAAAAGAAAAGAAGTGTCCATTGAAGTTCATTCCATTTCTTTAACTGTCTCATGAACTAATTTTCAACAAATTACCATACAAATTAAACTCATCTAAAATTTGGGGAAAAAAGAGAGTAGACTTTTGTAAACATATGCTTCACCTTGTACTGCAGGCCAGTAACAGGAGGCTCAATGAACCCAGTAAGAACACTAGGTCCAGCTATTGCCGCAAACAACTACAAAGCCATATGGGTGTATCTGGTAGCTCCCGTACTTGGAGCTCTAGGTGGGGCGGGTACCTACACTGCAGTGAAGCTGCCCGAAGAAGATGAGAACGCCAAGGCAAATGCTTCAACCCCCAGGAGCTTCAGAAGGTGACTTGTCCCCATGGTCATCCATCAAACCTAAGAAAACAACTTAGACAACACTACATGAGAAGATGTTTGTGTTTTGATAATATTAATAATTAAATATTGTGGAAAGCAAGGAAAAATGAGAACCTTATTTTGGTGCATGCACATATTAGATGTGTAAAGGTGTATCTATTGCATAAAATATCCAAGCAAATATGTGTGCTGTTTGGTACATGTAAATACCGTATTATTCTTTTTCTTTTATTTTATGATAAGTTAGTACTTAGCAGATCTCTCCAAGTGCAGTCCGATAAAGAAAACCATCGAAATAAGCCATTAACAAGTGTTTATCAATTTTATCAACAAAAATATAGAAAGGGATTGTAAAGATACCCAATATTTGTAAGAATCTTCTAGCATAACATTCAGCCATTGCCTTTTCACCGTCACCAGCTCCAGCAAGATGAGTAATTCTTAAGACATCACCGGCTTCTTCAGGCTGCAAGATGCGCAACAAGTATGCAAGGACAAGATTGAAAAAGACACAATGCTTTGTTTGGAGATCACTTAGAAAATCACTATTAAATATCCTTCCATATTTCCACATATGAACCTGGGTTGTTGCATTTCTGTTTAGATATTTTGCATTGACTTCCATCATAGTCCTCAAGGGATCTGCTATCTTCCGAGAATACAATGCATTTCCAATCGTCACACTATCTTTCTTCAAAACAGACATAACCCTAGCGAATAATGGAATACAATGGAGTCCTGTATAAGCTAGATGGATGTCATACATAAAAGCCTTAATGTTTTGTCCCCTGTCACAAGTGTTTCCAGAATAGAGTAGACAATAGAGACTATCCTTATACCTAGGATGATTCTCAAATATGGATTTGATGGCCCTTGTAGCTTCTTCACCAGGGTGGAAATTATTGAGAGGAATAGGATGAGCATAGAAATCTCCATACCTATTTCGAATTGATTCCTCAATTCTCATATAATTTTCAGCAGACTTAGTAAACAATCGCATATAGGTTCCAGCAACAAAACAAAAAGCAGAAGCAACCCTCTTATAGTAATCCGCTTCACCTTGGTTCATTGTTATCATCACAACCCTCCTTCCTCCTGGAATATCTCTAATACGAGATGCTTTCATTTCATCATAGTTTAATCTGTCTCTTGGATCAACAAAAGCCTCATTTATGTCATCAAACATGCTCTTTCCCAATCCATCCATTGAATTGTAAGCCAGGAGAAACAGTCCTACGATTGTTTTTGTTGTAATTCTTGAATGGATTCCATTAATAACATCAATCCCCAAGGTCACTAGCTGTTCATGTGGCATTTTCACAAAGTCTATTGCTTTCTTTCTATTATTTTCAGAGGGAACATCATTCCAATCATTAACAGAAGTTGGTCTTGCAGAAACTATATCAAAGCCTTCAAAATGGTTTTTGTCACTAGGAACTATAGGCCTATTCAAAAACTCATTCATTTTTTGTTGTCGACGAGAATTTGGTGGAGCTGTCATTACTATGGGAACAGTTAGTACTTTTTTGTGAAATTAGAATTTAAATGCAAAAAAATAAAATTAAAAGAAAAATGTTTGTCATTTAAAAACACACAAAATTACGTTATCAACAAACATAAACACAAGAAAATATTTTTTTATTTAAAATTTAAATTAAAAAAAAAAAAACAATCACTTTCACTCCCATGATTTTCATTCATTGTGTTTATCTCTCTTGAAATGAGATAATTTATGTCTAAAATGACAAACACTAAATCCTAAAATAAAAAAGCATAATAACGATAAATTAATATAATAATTGTACCAATGGCGATGAGTAATCAAACAAGCGAAATCCCGCGAGGCTGATGCTGATGAGGTGTTTGGAATGTGAATGGGAATCTGAATCTGAAGAGAGAAAGAGCAGAGGAAGCGATGAGGACGCCGAGGAGGTCGGCGAGGGCGTCCTTGAAGGAGGCTCCAGCAGATTGGAAGTAACCAAGGTGATCGGCGGCTTCTTTGGCGGCGCCGGCGAGAAGAGAAAAAAGGGATCCGATGGAAATGGCGTGGCGGCGGAGGAAGGGGTGATGTGTGAGGGAAGCAACACTGTAAAACAAAAGAGTGAGGGCAAAACACATCAACACGTGGTACGCTTTGTCCAACCCCAACCACGGGTCTCTTTCCTCCTCCATGTTTTAGTAAATCCACTAACGAGGTTTCAAATAGTTTTTTAAAGACCTAATATTTGACTTATTAATCAGGGAAAAAAAAAAATATTTACCATAAAAAAAAGTTTATCACTTTTATAACTAATTTAATCACCGTTAGTTTCTGTTAATTTAATGGTTATAATTATTGAAAATTATTGAATCGTATCTATTAATTAATTATTAATTTTTAATAAATTCAATAAATTATAACGGTTAGATTAACAAAAATCAATGGTAATTAGGTTGGTTGCAAAGATGGTAAACTAATTTGGTGAAAAATATATCTTGTCCCTATTAAATAATGTTAATTTTGTAAAAAGTCTTAACATAAATTTTTTTTTAACAAGCTAAAATAAGCCAGGATTAATTAATTTAGATGTCCAACTTATTGTAACCAATTAAATTAAATAATGGTTTGTTTTTTTTTTAAATTATTTTAAATAGTTTTGTCTAATATTCACCGGAACGACGTAATTTTGGAGTAGAAATTATGGTATATTTATAATTTTAATTTATTTCAGAATTATAATAGTCATTATTATTCTAATTTTTTAATTTTTCAACTCTAGAATAATGTCGTTTCAGAGAATATTAGATAAATTTTTTTATGTTTGCCATATTATAAAATAAAATAAAAGAGTGGAGAATGGAGTTAAATAAACGTGATACGTAAAGGAAGTACACTTGTATTATTTTAAATTAAAGAAAGACACAATTTAATATTTTTTATTTAAAATGTAAATTTTAAAAAAAGAATCACTTTTTTTTTGCTATATTTTTATTGTTTGTGTTTTTCTTTCACTTAAGATGACATAACTCTAAATCTTTTGAAAAGGTAAACACTAAATTCTTTACATTTATTAAAAAAGAAAAAATAAAAAAATAAAATAAAAGAACACGCTAAGTCGCAACTGCCGAGCACATCTTTGGTGCTACTGTAGTATGTACTACTTTACTAAAAATAGAAAAAGGTGATGGCTTTGGAAAAAATAACCATACAAGGAAGGGTAAAATAGTAAAAAAAGTATATTATATTTTCTAAATTGAGTAAATGAAGCACCGAGTCTAGTATTGAAGATATTTCCCCAATTGCCAAAGGCTAAGTAAAATTGTGCATTGGGAACGAAGCAACCTATTTTCGTTTTTTCTTTTTTAAACGAAAATGAAAAACATAAAAGGCGAAATTTTTGTCCTTTTTGAAGTATATAATTCGGTGTCATTTTAAATTTTAATTATTGATTTTCATCCATCAACAATTAAGATTTACTAGATTTTATTGTGAATTAATAATTAATTAATAAATTTGACCCAATAAATCCTAGCCGTTGATGAAAATCAACTAAGAAGAAGATTTAAAATAACATAAAATTATATCTTTAAAAATCACGAACGTTTTTTACAATATAAAATGGGGAAAAAAAGGAAGGAAGGAAGGAAAATTGAGGTTGTGTCGTCTGTGGTGTGGCCGTGTGGGAGCAGACGGCCTATCTTGATCGCGAAACAACCATCCCTCATTCGCACCATTCAACAATTTACAAAAGTTTCCGCTTTTGATCTTTGTTTTCTTTCTCAACCATGGAGCTCTCTGCTTCATGGGATTCCCTTCGCAAACAGGTTCAAATTCTTCACCCTCTCTTCTTTCTTTCGCCATATTCTGTTTCTCTTTTGTGCAAATCAAATGTATGATATGTATATGGAAAATTTAGAGGCCCCTGATCTGAAAATTCTCCTTCTTTTATTGGATTTTCTTCATTTTGTCGGTGATTGGAATTATGGGGATGAGTCTGCACTCTTTTGCCATTCATGCCTTAAACCTGGTTTAGATATTTAGAATTACTTGTTTTCGACAGTAAAATGATAGATTTGAGTGCTAAAGGGAGCTTTCTTTGATGAATTGGAATTACATGATCTTGTTCTTGGGGTGCAATGGATCCGGCTAAGTTTTTGTGGGGGCATTGATTGCTTTTTTGTTTTATATTTATAGTGGCAACAGATTCTGATTTTGCTTTATTTTTCAGTTTTAAATTACTCAGGAAATGAATTTTTTTTTTTAGATTTGAATTTTTTCGGATATATTGGATATATTCGACGGACAGGTTAGAAACCTCCCTCATTTGCGTACTGTGATATTTACATAGAAAGAATTTTCTGTAGTTTCAAGTGTGAGACGGACGAATACATATCTGTGTTCATTCTGCTTACCCGAATAGCCTAAAGAGTATTGTATTTTTTAACAAAAGTTTCTATAGGAACCAGGCTTCATCATAGATGGTGTTTGCAATGGATCAACTTACACCAGTATAAGAATAAAAACTTATTAACCATTGATTCTACTTACATTTAACAATTCACATGAATTCTTCTCATCTCTAATAAATTAAAACCATTAGATGCAAGAAGAATCAAATGTTAATAATGAGGGTAAGAGTTCTTATTCTTATACCTGTGTACAAAATGATGTATAGACATTAACCTTTAAGAAAAATGACAAGAAAAGACTATGCAAGACTGGAGCCTTGATTCAGTTGAAGAACAATTAATCCTGTTATTGTTAAAGGAATACGAAAGCATTTGAAAATCAGGAGTGAGATAGGGTTGTAAGATGTAACAATTCATGAACTTGATATTTTTGTATACATGTTGGTGATGAATGATATAAATATTTTTTTTGGAATGAAGATTTAAATTGTTTATGGGAAAACAATTTTAACTCAAGCTTACTTAAAGTTTGTGGAATTTTAGTTATGCTGACTTGTTCTGTCTGAACGTTACAATATTCAAGCATGCGTTCATCTACTTTTGGTTGAATAACTTAGTTTATCTGCGCTAATCTTAATTAATCATAGTAATAGTAACAGTAGCAATTTATATTTTTTATTGTCTCTTAAGTGTTGCATGTTTTGTCTTCCTTTAGCTTTCCTAGTTTATATATATTTTAGTTTTCTTAAGCTAATTATTTACAACAGAAATTTGTTTTCTCTTCTTAATCTTTTCCAGGCAAGAAAACTCGAAGCTCAGTTGGATGAGCAGATGCTTTCATATCGTAAATTGGTTTCCGCAAAAGTTTCTACAAAAGATGATGCTGCAGAGAGTGACGTGGAGTCTTGGATTGAGAGATTACTAAACCAACTCCAACAAGTAAACTCACAGATGCAGGCTTGGGTGTCCTCTGGTGGGTCAGAAATGGTTTCTCATACTCTGACTAGACACCAAGAAATTCTTCAAGATCTCACCCAGGTATTCCATAGCGTGAGCTTGAGTTACCCGTTATCATTCTGTGTGAGCATATTTTTGCAATGGAGTTTTGTTTTTATTGCATTGCTTTAGTGATGTCTGTATGCAAATTAGGGATGGATATTTTGTGCACCCTGATGTGAAGGGTTCATTCTGACAACAGAGAAGGATTTAAAATTAATATATTAAACTGTCATTTCTGTAACTGGGCATTAAATATCATTGCATGTTTTTCTTTGTAAATTTATACATGATTTTTGGTTTCAAAAGAATTATCTTTTTTACAGATGATAGAATGACAAACAGGAATAAATGTCATCAGCATTGTTTCTTGTGAGAAGCTCAAAATTGCGATATAATTATGTATCTTTTCTTACATTTATTTCTCGACAGTTTTGACTGGTACTTGATGATATGATATTCCCCTCTTATTCAGAATCTAATATCTTCTTCAGGATTTATTATATAGTGTAGGCTAGTTGATACATAATTTCAAACCCTTATATCATTATTATTTTTTATTTGTATAATATACTTTTACTTCTTTCACATAAGGTCTACATCTCTCTTTGCTTTGTAATGTTCTGCTTGTATTTACTTTAATTCATTATTTTATTTCCTTCATATTTTAAATTTTTTTCTCTAGTATTAGACCTGTCAGTCACCAACCTGTTATTAGATGTATTTGAAGTGCAGGAGTTTTATCGTCTCCGATCTAGTCTTAGAGCTAAGCAAGAGCATGCTTCACTACTTGATGATTTCAAAGAGTTTGATAGGACAAGGTTAGATTTGGAAGAGGGAGCAGGTTTTGAAAAGCAAACCCTCCTCAAAGAGCATGCATCTATCAGCCGAAGTACAGGACAGGTTGGTCACATTAGACTTTTAATTTGATTTTCTGTTATAAAGTTTTGCACTCTTATTGAAATCTTCCCAGTGCAATGCTTTACTTGTATTAATATATTATGTACTTGGACTTAGATATTTTGCCCATAACATTATTTTGCACTCTTTTATTATTGATGAATCACGAAGCAATATAAGAGTTACACTCTTCCTCTTCCAAGGGAGAGGTTACCTTCACAATGAGACTAATTAACAATGTAGACCCCAATCAACAATGTAGACTCTATTTATAATTTTATATCAATACACAATATACCCAATTTGCCTAACCAACTATTTGATTATACCCTCTAAGCCTTTGGCGTTTGCTCAGTTAAACTAACATCCCTAACATTATGTAAAGGGATTTAATTATCTGATATGCCATTCCAATGCCATATTTAGCTCCTTGCTTTCATCTGGAGCGTATGCCAAGCATAACGGACTACTTTTCCAACATGTCTTTCTTTTTTCTTTTAACTACTATCTTTGATGACTGAATTTCAAGCGGGGTTGTCCTGTTTTGCTTATTCTTGTGCTGCAGATGGACACTGTTATTTCTCAAGCACAGGCTACACTCGGTGCACTAGTCTTCCAGCGTTCAACTTTTGGGGGGATCAACTCAAAGCTCAGCAACGTGAGCGGTCGCCTTCCAACGGTATGATTGTTATCGGCATAGATTTTTGGTGTTCTAATCATTTTTCTTTTGGCTGTTTGGATCCTGTGTAGTTTTATGATATTTAAGCAAGTACACCCAAATAAAGAAAGAAAGATAATGAATGAGGACGTTGATTTATGCTTTTGAAATATGATGATTAATTTCATGTTTCATGACAATGGATTAACTGCTGAAAGATGTTGTGGCCTTATTGATTATGAAGTTTTTAGTGTGGGAAACGAAAGAAATTAATTTCATTACTATATGTAGGTTTATCTGTCGGAGTTCTGCTGATTAATGCACCACTTTTAATAATGTTGCAGGTAAATAACATTCTGTCAGCAATAAAGCGAAAAAAGTCGATGGATACCATTATACTTTCCCTTGTCGGGTCCATATGCATATTTCTTATTTTCATCTACTGGCTAACCAAGTGAGGATGCTGTTTATTGTGCTAGGTGGCTTGTGTTTAAACTACTGTATACTACTTGTCTATTGTATTTAGTTGTTTGTGCTATATGCTGAACTGAGTCTTTTTTGGGGGGAAGGGGAGGGTAATGTATTGTTTAATTGATGGTCTACAGAAGCAGAGCCTAGTAAAGATGATGTTACAACTTTTATTTTTTTTCATCATAAATCTGTAAATTTGTATGCGTTCCATTTCTTGGTTTTGGATAAGGCTATGCGTTTTCCAAGTGCTTGAATTACCCCTCCACCCCCACAACATCTCTCTCTCTCTCTCTCTCTCTCTCTCTCTCTCTCTCTTTTTGAATACTTGAATACCCCTTTGGTCAGGAGTCCTTGATGGTTATTTCTCCCCTAGGTAGTCCTTTGACGCCCAATTGTTATGGAAGAGTAGCCTTTATCTGGGATAATCCTTTGACCTTTGTGGACCTAATCGAGTAGTACTAGAATTATTTATTCTTACTACTATCTCTTATACATAAAAAAAATCAAATTAACCTCAGATTGGCCGGTGACTTGTAAGCTTTGCTAATATTTACGTGGTAGAATTGTTTGTTTTCTGAACCACACCATTTATTAGAAAATAAAATAAAAGTATTAAAAAGGCCATCATTGTGGTTTTTTACATGGTATCAAAGCTTTAGTAACCATAAGGTTGCGAGTTTGATCCTCACTGCCCCTCATTTTCAAGTGGAATTAAGAAAAACACAAGGCAAACAAAAAAAATGAGCTTGTGTAGTACAAGGCAGACCAAAAATGGGCTTGTGTAGTACAAGGCAGCCGTCCAAAAGGACTCTTGCGTGAGAGGGGGTGTTAGAGAATAAAATAAAAGCATGAAAAGATCATCACCTAATACCTTAAGATTTTGGGTTGAAATGGTTCTTTACATTATTATTTTCCTCCAACCATTATTTTTTAAGCTTTCGATATTTTGAAGCATAGGGCCTCCAAATTAATTAATTAGATAACCCTTGTCCTTCAAATTCCCGATCTACTTTTTCTGGTTGCTGTTATCTGCAGGAATTTGCTGGTTGCTATCAACTTTTGTTTCTCTTCTAAACGCCTGGCATTTTTGTAAATTTTTTTTATAGAATATTTACTTCCTTACACTCACTCATTTCAAATACTGTATAATTAAATTTTTTGATTAATATATTATTACAATGGTAAATTAGAATGTAATAATTCTCAATTAATCACTAATGTAAATCAATTATAATCAATTGATATTGATTCTATATATGTTTAAACATTGTCAGAATCCAAATCGAGACGAGAGGCCAATTGAATTCATCGTAAAAAATAAATATCAAAGATGTCGTCACCAATTTAATTTAGTAAAAAAAAATTCTATTTGAAAACTTGTCTTTTAAAGAAAAGAGATCGCTTTTAGAAGTCTGATTAGCATAGGAAATGAAGAAAAAATTATTCTCTTTATTTACACCCCTTATGGATTGATTTAGAAAATGGTTAGTGATTACCTTAATTAATTATGCAAATCATTATTAAACTTTAAAAATTATTTGTTTGGAACACGAAAAATAAAGCTAAGTGAATGAGATGATTATTTATATATATAAAAAAAATATATGAAAATTTTATGCTTTGAGGCATCCCTTGATGCAACAGAAAACTTAAAATTACGTCGCTTTTAGTAAAAGTATATGAGCTGATTTTAACTTCAAATTATTTAATTTTATTTTGAAAATTATATTAATCTTTTATGCGCTATTTTCTAAAGTAATCTTAGATTGGATAGTTTTAGATTAAAAAATCGAAGTTGCAATTTGTAGCTAGGTATACTCAGAAGTAGGTTTAGGAAGATAAGAAGAGAAGAAGAGGAGAGAAAATAGGGAGAGAGAGAGAGAGATTTTTACTTCAAACATACCTCATTCATTGTTTCAACGTGACTATATCAATTACAACCTAACATATGGCACCTAATGGGCCTTAAACAAATAGAATGACAACAATTGCTATTTAAAGGTCTTCATCCTAATAGATAGTCAGATAGCTTAGTGGGCCGAACCAGTGTCTTCTTATCCCTTAGCCCAACTCGTATTGTAGAATTAGGGTCCGTTACATGTCTCCCATCTGCAGGACCAGACTCGTCCGCGACGCTGTGGTGGGATTGATCGACGTGGACCAATCTAGGGGCAACATGTGGTAACAAACACTGGGTAAGAGTGGGCGGCAGTACTGATGGATTTTGAATGCCATCCAACGGTTGAGGTGAGGCTTGACTGATCAAGGAAGTAGTGTCCGTTGGATCGTGTGGGGAAAAAGAAATGGGTTGGCGTGCATTAATAAGAGTAGGTGGCTGTGGCAGAGTAATTGGATGGGATGTGGGTGTCTCGTCAGTAAAAGAAATGTCCTCTTCTTTGGACTCAGTAAAAACAGAAACCTTCAAGGGAGGAACCGGAGGTTGCATGTGGGTAGGCACATCAGCCAGAGCAGTAACGTCGTAGGCCAAACGAGGGTTCCCCTGAAGCACATTGAGTTGGTCCTCCCATGTAGAGTCCTCCGGAGGAAGTCCCATCCACTGGACAAGGACTTGTGGGACTAAGTGCCCCCTTCGCCATATGGATCGGGTAGCCAGCACCGCACATGGAGTCAGGGTCATCGGAGATGCTGCTGGTGTAGCTGGAAGCTGGTGAACCTGGTAGGTGTGGCCCTGTCGGAACAGCCGTAGCATTGAAACATGGAAAACGTCATGGATCCGAGCCGAAGGTGGTAGTCTGAGACGGTACGCAACCTCTCCGACTCTGTTCAGTATCTCAAAAGGGCCATAGTAACGCAAGCTGAGTTTTTGGGAAGACCGGCAGTGGACAGAGACTTGCCGGTAAGGCTGTAAACAGAGCAAAACCGGATCTCCGACGGTAAAGTTGTAACCTTTTCTTTTTTTGTCAGCTTGTGTCTTCATCGTCTGTTGGGCCTTCTTGAGATTTTCTTTTAACGTGTGGATTATTGTGCTGCGAGATGACAAAGTGGAATCCACGGCCTCATTAGGGGAAGATCCCAGGCAATAAGCAACCAAATCTGTTGGTGGTTTGCAGAACATCACCTCATACGGTGAAAAGCCAGTGGAATGATGGAAGCTAGTATTATAATGGTACTCTGCCCAGCTGAGGAAACGTGACCAGGAGTTGGGGTGTTCGTGAGTAAAGGCCCTGAGGTAAGACTCTAAACACCGGTTGACTCGTTCAGTTTGTCCGTCCGTCTGCGGGTGGTACGAAGAACTAAACTTTAATGTTGTTCCTTGCAGTTGAGACAGGGAACGCCAGAAATCGCTCAGAAAAATGGGGTCTCGGTCAGTGATGATAGTGTGGGGAAGACCATGTAGCTTGCCGACGGTATCCCAAAAAACTGAAGCCACCTTGGAGGCTGAGTAATAGGCTGGGAGCGGAGCAAAGTGAGCAGCCTTAGAAAATCTGTCCACAACTACCAAGATCGAGGTATAACCGGTGGAAGATGGTAAGTGTGTTATAAAATCCATAGTAATGTCAGTCCATAAGGAATTGTGGGTTTGTAAGGGCTGTAGGAGACCGAACGAGGAATGGTTCGGAGGTTTAAGTTTCTGACACACCTCACATTTGGAAATATAGTCTTTAACAGTCGAATTGATTCCCTTCCAGGTGAAGTTACGGGTGAGACGATGAAGTGTGGCCTTCACTCCGGAATGGCCTCCCTGTTTAGCATCGTCGACTGTATGAAGGAGGTGTGGAATTAAGAAAATTCGATGGCGGTGGAACAACAAATTATTTTTGTATTGCCAGTCAGGCCATAGACTAGGATCATTTTGTATGTCCTGTATTACCTGGGTAGTGTAGGGATCTGTACTTAATTCGGACTGTAGAACTGAAGTAAAATTTAATGTGGGACCAGTAATAGCTGCCAATTGGGGGTGCTGAGCATGCGAGGCTCCCTCGGCTTGTCTAGATAGTCCGTCGACAACAACATTTGCCTTGCCGAATTTATAGACAATAGTGTAATCATACCCCAGTAATTTAGAGAGGAACTGCTATTGCTTCGGGGTTTGGATCACCTGATTCATCAAGTTGTTAAGGCTTTTATGATCGGTACGAATCAAAAAATGAGAGCCTAACAAATATTGGCGCCACTTAGAGACTGCTGCGGAGATGGCAAACATCTCCCAGACATATGTAGATTTACCTTGCATCATGGGTGCAAGCTTGCGGCTGTAAAAAGCAATGGGCTTCTCATTTTGGAGTAAAACAGCCCCGATTCCCACGCCAGAAGCGTCGGTTTCTAGAACAAATGGTTGAGTGAAATTGGGAAGGCACAAAATGGGTGCTGTTGTCAAAAGGGCCTTCAAGGTACTAAAGGCCTCAGCTGCCCGTGAATTCCAACAGAAACCCGATTTAGAGAGGAGATCCGTGAGAGGGGCCGTAATTGAGGCATAATGTTTTATGAATTTTCTGTAATAGCTGGAGAGACCCAATAATGCTCATAGCTGTCTAGTTGTGGTAGGGACTGGCCAAGCGGAAATCGCTTGTAATTTGCAGGGATCAGGTCGAACACCAAAACCAGAAATAATATGGCCCAAAAAGTTAATTGAGGGCTGAGAAAATAAGCATTTGGAGAGCTTTGCATATAAAGAATGGGCCCGCAGAGTGTTTAGAACTGTTGCCAAGTGATCCCAATGAAGAGATTCTGTTGCGCTATAGACGAGAATATCGTCGAAGAAAACCACAACAAACTTGCACAAATAAGTGGCAAAAACTTGATTCATAGTAGCTTGAAAGGTAGAGGGTGCATTACTCAAACAGAAAGGCATCACTCGAAACTCATAGTGGCCTTGGTGAGTACGAAAAGCTGTCTTATGAATATACGGAGAATGCATTCTGATCTGGTGGAAACCGGATCTGAGATCAAGCCTAGAAAAAATTGTTGCCCCATGTAGCTCATCGATAAGCTCATCAATGGTGGGTATAGGGAACTTGTCCTTAATAGTGAGTGCATTTAAGGCGCGATAATTCACGCAAAACCGCCATGTACCGTCCTTCTTCTTGACAAGAAGAACTGGTGAACTTAACTTCGATTGGCTATGGCGAATGATGCCAGCAGACAACATTTCTGAGATCAGTTTCTTGATCTTTCTTTTATGGT